TGGTGTTTACTGGTGTTTAGTTGTGTTTACCAGTGTTTACTGGTGTTTACTGGTGTTTAGTTGTGTTTAATGGTGTTTACTGGTGTTTAATGGTGTTTACTGGTGTTTACTAGTGTTTAGTTGTGTTTACCAGTGTTTACTGGTGTATACTGGTGTTTACCGGTGTTTATACTGGTGTTTACTGGTGTTTAGTTGTGTTTAGTTGTGTATACTGATGTTTAGTTGTGTTTACCAGTGTTTACTGGTGTTTAGTTGTGTTTACTGGTGTTTACTGGTGTTTAGTTGTGTTTACTGGTGTTTACTGGTGTTTAGTTGTGTTTACCAGTGTATACTGGTGTTTACTAGTGTTTAGTTGTGTTTACCAGTGTTTACTGGTGTTTACTGGTGTTTACTAGTGTTTAGTTGTGTTTACCGGTGTATACTGGTGTTTACTGGTGTTTAGTTGTATTTACCAGTGTTTACTGGTGTTTACTAGTGTTTACTGGTGTTTACTAGTGTTTAGTTGTGTTTACCAGTGTATACTGGTGTTTAGTTGTGTTTACCAGTGTTTACTGGTGTTTAATGGTGTTTACTTGTGTTTAGTTGTGTTTAATGGTGTTTACTTGTGTTTAATGATGTTTAGTTGTGTTTTCCATGATAAATATGTAATGCAAAATGTAACTTGTTTACCATAGTTTTGGTACACATGAAGAGACAATAGTAGATCTTGGTCTTAAATCAAGCCTTATCTCAGTGCATGCAGCTGTGTTGGGAGTTTGATATCATAAGATTTCTTGTAATGCATGCAGTACTTTTGTTTGTGTACTTGACAAATTTTGTAAATTGAGCTCAATTCACCACTCATGCATGCAGTATTGGATTACTGAGCCCTATTATAGTACTTTAAAATTGTAATGCTATAGAACGGTAACTAGCTATAATTTTTGTAAATGCCAAAATAATGAGAATCACAAACTGAACTAAAATGAGTTGTCAGAATAATGAATTATAACTGAAAACATGGGCTCCTGCTCAAAATTAATAGAAATAACATTATTTTAGTGCCACACATTCTCCGATTCTGTCCGTCTCCTCCAACTTTCCTGAACTACACGTGGCTAGATACAGCCTATATCCGCATTCTTTCGTGGCATCTCCCGCTCCGTCTCCCGCTTTTATCCGTCAACTCCCGCTCCTGCTCCCGCTCCGTCTCCCGCTTTTATCTGGTCCCCCATACAAGTTCAGAACAAATTCTAGATACGGATTGGTCCTGACCCTCCTCTTTGCGAGGGTCAGGCTCCACCTGACTAGAAAGCATCCAGTCTGAGTGATGATACTGCGGTTGGAGGAGGTAGGAAGGCTGTGGTTAGACTGCTGACACAGCTGCGGATAGTGAAGTGAACTGCAGCTGCACTGACCAGATGCTGGTCTCCTGGCAGAGATGAAGACAGCCTTAGAGGCAGCACGGACCTATTGGGAGCAATAGAAACGGCAGCAGTGTAGGGCAGTAGTGCATGATGAGAGTTGAGCTCAGTGGCTAGAAATGGCGAGCATCAGATCCCGCCGCTCGTCCAGTGACGCTGAATTGCCACTCTGGGATACCGAGGAGGGCTCCTGATTGTCTGGGATAGACTCAAAGCCAACTTCATTAGGAACAGAAAGCTCAGGAGGTGAAAGAGAGCCGGATTGACGGGAGAGACAGAGAAACAATAACACACAGAGCAGCCAATAATACTCAGAGCAGCCAGCAGCCAGCAGTGTGATTGCAACAAAAGCAACGCAATGTGCTAACAGCAAAGCCACGCCTGCTGACCAACCCTAGCCATGTGGCAATCAGTTCATGGATATTAACTTCGTTCAACCTAGGTGCTTAAACTCCAATAAAATTCTTCTAGCAAAGCAAGCTAAAATCTCTCTTGCCGCCTTTACATATTATACATGTAAGTGCCATTGAAACAAAGATGAAAGCTATCACTCACATGCAGCCTAAGACTTTCCTCAATAGGTTTTGATACAGCTAGCAATCCTTTGTAAAATTGTAGTGCTGAAAATAATTAAATAAGTGAAGAATTCAATGTTGTAATAATTATGAATGATTTGTCAGGATTGGCTTGATAAAGACTATTTTAAAAGTGTTTCTTGCCTTCTGAGGTTTGCATTCATTTCCCCTCATTATACTGCCTTCTTTATCTGGGTCTTAAATTTAGTCCTAGCCTTGGTACAACTGGAGTTGCAATAATCCAGTTAATCTTTTATTTCTTTATCACATGCACATGTCTAGCTGGCCAGTTGTACTGTACTAAATTGATCATTTTTGAGGAATGATGTATATGTACAGATAAGCAGATCACAGTGTCTCTTGTACTATAGGACTCACTCAAGCTTACCACAATTATATAATAATACTTACAATTTTTTCCATTCCACTTTGTTTAGATTTAACAATCAACAGTCACTGCAATACAGCCAGTGTTGTCCTTCAACACTAATAAATTCAGGTCTAGCATTAGGCATAGCACTTGGTTCACTTGAACAGTTTTATCTGTTGGTGTAAAAATTAGATACTTTTATTGAAGTTTGAATCATTAGAAAGTGCCCAAATCACGTGCCATTGAAAAGATAATGGGAAAATTATTGCTCTAACTGCCAGGCCATCTCAATGCCTACTCTTGCTTGTAAAAAATATTTGTTGAAGCAGAACTAGCTTCAAGATAATAAAACAATAATTCAAAAAAGTCAAATTTTAATATTCAAAAAATTACCAGAAAAAAATTAAAAAATTACTTATAACTAGAAATAACAAAACTTTCTGTTGAAATATCGTTAATGGTGTCATTTTCTTTGGTCAGCATATGCTCCCAATGTTCCTCTACAGCTGCATGTAGAACAAGATCAGTATCCCTGACCCTATTGACATACCATCGAGCTATTAATACATACACCACTAATCCAATGACAGCAATTACACCAAATATTACAGAAAGCCATGAGGTACATGACATAAATGAGACTGAGTGTATAGGGTGATAATAGACTATTAATAAGATGCCTGAACCAATGTCAATGAAGATACCATGCAAAAACCAATGCAGTCCAATGATCATTCCATGCATACCAAAAGGAGATTGACTACACAGGAACTCAAATAAATATATCCCACTAAGAAAATATGATGCACCAGCTAACACTGATGGTATGAGTAGTATCCAATAGGAAATATCAATTTTTTGATTGATTGGTCTCCAAATGAAAAAGCAAGGCATTTCAGAAATGTTACTACTATCAATCCTTCCAATCAAGTCAATTAGAAATAAACTAAGAATAGATAATATGATGAGAATGTTTGATAAACCAAGACCTTTCAATGGATTAGTTATAAAATATTCTAATTTAGGAAAGAGAGGCAGAATAACTAGTTCAAATAAAGGGACAACAACAAGCAATGAAGTGAAGTTGCCAAAAAGCCAAATTACATATTCAGCATTTTTTTCATAGCCATCTTTAAACTGTACAACAAAATTCGAGGAACTACTTAACATTGGAATAATGGGGATAAATAAGGGAAAGACAGTAATCAAAACAACAGCAATACGTAGAAAAGTTTTTACATTTTCCACTTCTTCATGAGAGAAACAACCACCATACCTCTCCTTAGCAAGATCCATTCTACTGGGCTCCTCTCCCCAGTATGTGAATGCACTACGATGCTGTCTTCTAGTGCGACTAGTTTTGAGAGAAAACTTCAATACTTTAAATACAATTTTATAAGGATTAGGAATAGGTATGTGCTCAAAACGATGCTTCAGGAAAAAATGAAGACAAAGAGAAAAAGAAAAAAGAGCAAAAGCTAAAACTGAAATAATGAGCTCATCTGACATAACTAGAAATGCATAGCCAATACAAAGACACAGCCAGTACCAGTGAATGAAGGCTCTTATCTTGACACTAGATTCATTCATCAACTGATCTATACCATATGGTAATATATTAGTGAACAAGAGAGATAATGAGGCTAAGATGAAAATAAAGGCTATACCAAAAAATGCATACCTTCCTATCAGAGCAGTAGTATCACATGAATGATATTGTAAACAGCATCCAATGGCAAACAACAGAGTGCCTATCCAACCAAGCCATAGACCAAGATAAATAGCATTACCTCTACCAATCTTAGTATCTGATAACCAACCACAAAAAGGGGCAAGAAGAAAAAGAGCATTTCCCACTATAATTCCAACATAATGAAATACTGGATTGTTAGCAGAGCCAGTAGATCCAGATCCACATTGGTCATGAGATAAATCTCTGAAAATTATTTCAGAAAATGCATAACTCACTGCTATTGGCAGAGTATAAACCAGTAGTAGGATTGATGGTAAATTCAATGAACGAGACTTTAATTCCTTACAGTAGTTACTAAAGCAGTTGAAAGGTTTGTACTTCCTTTTACTTGCATTGTTAACAAGTGAAGAAGAGGGTAACAACCTCCTTCTTTCTGGAGAGACAGGATTCATTTTATTCAATAGTAGGCAATCATGTGACTATGAATCCTTATCAAAATTATGTGACTGTTATTTTAGGCTTTACTCAATTAAACATTACTTTGGCTTTTCAAAAAGCTCCAGCAGTCACTTTTGTATCTAATTGCCCTGCATGATTATTGTCTATAATAAATGTTTTCATGATGCTTGTGATCACGGACTGAGCAGTGGGAACAGATTACTGTATCACATGTCTCACAGAAGAACTCCAAAGGTTTTCCATGATCACTGCAGGTGGCCGCAGCAACTTCTAATCGAGAATTAGACAAATTTTTTGTCTTCTTCATTAGACTATGTACATCTTTGAGGTGGTTGAGGTGAAATGCTACAGGAAAGGCTCCTACTCCTTCTTCTGGTAACTCTGTACAATGACGACAAGTGGGACAAGAGAGGTAATAGGTCTCATTCTTCTTATCCAGTGGTAATCCTTCCAGACAGTGCTGACAGAATGAATGTAGACAAGGTAAAGTCTTAGGGTTGGTATAGTGGTCAAGACACACAGGACAGGTGAGCTCTTCTTCCAGTTTGAGGAGACCCAAAGAAGATGGAGACGGTTTCAAATTGGCTGTCATTTTAAGGAAAAGTATGTATTGAATACACAAGGGCAAAAAGTAAGAGAGATAAAGGTAGAAAATAATAAACGAAGATAGTCTTAGAGCAAAAATTAATAATAAACTGAGAAAAATACTGAACAGTGACCAAGAGAGAAGAAAGAGATACCTGATGACTTGCTGGGTTATTCTAAATGTTTATATAGCCTATCAGTAATACATTCCTCACATGACAGACAACACTATGAACCAGTAGTAACAAATGTAGTACAATAAACTCTACTACGTAATACTAGTAGTACATAGTGCAAATGTATTTATTGTCTCAGAGGCTAGTTTATAGTGTGGATTTTGATATTATGAGAAATTACTCAATAATCAGTGAAGGCAATTACTGATCAATGATAGAAATATGACAATGGGAATATTGATGTTAAAAATGGACCTCTAACTTATAAAAGTAAGATACTTATTAAATTGTATCTGTCAGTATAGTGCTTATCTGGCTAATT